TATATAAACTTCTCAATTATTTTTGAGGTTTTTATGAGATAAGATTTTTTAGTAAGACAGTTCCACAAACCTGATTCTTTCAGACTGGTTTAAAATAGTGGTTTCACAAAAGTCAGGGATTTTCTCATTTAACAACTTTTAAATTGATATTTGAAGGCAACATTCGTTTATGAGCTCTATTCACCCACTGGGATGGCTTGGCCTTCCATCACAAAACAGCCTTATCAGACCCCGCAAGGTCACTAAAACTTCTTGTTGCAGAAATAAAAAATGACATTTTTTTCAGATGGTTGTTGCATCCATCTCAGGTCTTGAAGCTCTCAGCTCTGCAAAGCCCAACTCAAGCACTAACTGTCTTTTTTATTTTAATTTAATTTTTTTTTCAGTTTGCACTCACCTTTCAGCTGTGTGTGTGAAGACATAAAGATATCAAGTATCTGAAGTCAAAATATTTCTTTTTGGGAGAAATATGTTTAGTGGAGAGAGAGGTGTTGTGGTCACACACACATGCATCTGTTGTTTCCTTCTCATCTGCTCAGGAAAAAGAAAAAGAAGAACAGTTAGTTACATTAACACTGGTGCGAAAATTAATTACAGTTCAGAAATCCTCTTCAGATCACAGTGTGATAACATACACTTGAAATAAAAATACATTTAAAAAAGAAAAAAATTATGGTATAATTTTAAATTTCATGATTTTTATAATGTCTCACAAAAGATTAAAACAGATTGTTGTGTCGGCATTATCTGCATGACAAGGACATATAGTTGAAAGCTAATATAGAATCTGTCTCTATGAAAGCTTTTTTAGAACTAAGTTCAGTTAGTTAGGAGACATGACCAGTGGTGGTCAAAAGGTCATGTTGGGTCACAGTCTTTTATGCTACAGTTGACTCCTGGCCACTTGTTTGTGATCTGTTTTCACACACACTTTTCATAGATCTCGAGACACACAGTACAGACCCTGTGGGAATACTCTCCCGCTGCAGAACATGTCACAGCACAGGCTTTTTTCTGTTGGGGTCCCCACCCCAGTGCCCACTGTTTGGCCACAAATCTGTCATGAATAGAGCACTGCACTTTTTGCCAGAACAATTCCTCTATGCACCATGTCTGCACTATAGGAGCTTTTGGCTATTAGATTATCTTCATAAATATATTTTGAAGCAAAGTGATACCACTGTTGTACCAGCACTTTTTCACACAAACACGSCCGCAGACGTCTGACCAACCACACAATACTCAGTGCTTTGAGGACTTGTGTCAAGAAGGAGCAGGTAAAGCTGCTCTGCAGACAAAATGACACACAATTTTTGTCAAACAGTTATTTCAATGAAAGCCAATTTTGTGGCTTCATATGGAGTATGCAGGGCCTTTAAGGGTCTTTTTAAAGCTGGTGGACCATGACTATGGGTCACTCTCAGCTATAGCCAGCTGTCCGTTACAGAACAACAGCTCTATATTTACATATTTATTATATTAATCAAATTAAACACAGCATTGATGTTACATTTAATGTGAAGCATTGTAWAACAGCTGATGGTTATCAGTGAACCATTCAGCTGTGGAGGATTTTATTGGTTAAAGTCATGTTAGCTCTGGCACTGAGCTCTGTGAAGTCACTAATCATTCTGATCCTTCATTTCATTTCACTTAGATCACATCTGTTAGGTAATTAAGCTTATTAGAAGATAAATCAACAAAGAAGTGCCTCAAATGGCTCTGAACCAAGTTAATGTGTAAATAATAATATAGTTCAGATGTCACAATGTGTTCTCATTATTACTTAAATATCAACAGATCTGCTAATGTCCTGTTTGTTGGACAGTGACAGCTCTCTAATGTGGCTGTGTGCTGAACACATGCAGTCAAACTATCAAAAACAAATTCGTGACATATTTGAAACACTAAATGGGGTGGACTGGCCCTGTGGACTACCAGGCAATGATGACTCACAAACTATCAGATATAACTATCTAAAATATTTTTGTGGACTGCAACAGCCCATTGTTGATTTTCTTGAAGGACATTGGGCTAATCCAATGAAAACTCTCAGCCCTCCTCGGTCCTACCTGCACAGGACATGCACTGTAAATTTGGGTTTACAGTTGACTGGGGTTTGAAAAAAGTAAAAAGCAATGAACAAACCACAAAACTGTAAGGGGGCACAGAGAAGCTGCAGGGCATTTGAAAATGAAAATGCCAACCTTTAGATGTAAAGTGTCAAAGCTCCACATTTGACTTTTAGGACGATGGTGGAAGTTTTAGTATTCTTTCATTTAATAATCAATTAGTTTAAAATCTTTAAAACCAGCAGGAAAAAATAATGATACTTAACTACTTTTTTCAGTCACGTTATTATACTTTGAATCTCATTAGAAAAAGAAAGAGCTTCTTACTGACAGTTTAAGATAAAACTGAGTTCAGTCTCTGTTATTGTGACCTAACCAGGCTTAAAGAAATCCTTCTTTGTGACTCTGAAAACTTTAAGAGCAACACAAKTGGCTGATCTGTTCCCTTCAGTTTGTAGTCCAGCTCTCTTGTCATCCACTGACTGAACATCAGAACCTTATGACCCCCACACGTGAAGTGTAAGCGAGTCATATTGTTTTCATACGGTTTATTTATTAATTTTTCTCCGGAGATAATTGGTCAACCKTAGCACAAAAACGGCTGCACTGGTCAACATGAAATTTGGCAGGACTGTAGATAAGTCTGACCTACACTGCGCCAACCTACGGTTTTACAATAGACCCCATATTTGAGGAGGGGGCTCCTTTCAAAGTGGGCGTGTCTGGACATGCAAAAATGCTTACAACTCAGAAACTGTTCAACATAGGAGATTCAGATTTCTTTTGTTGTTTAGCTCTGATGAAGCTCTATCCATCAGGTCCACTAATCAGTGCCCCCCTCCCCCCGGACCCCCAATTTATTTGAAAAAGTTGTTTCTGGACATACAAAACTGGTTATAGCTCAAAAACTATTAAGCATACTATCAGGTTTACAGGTAGTCAAAGGTGAGCGATGTAGAGAGGAACAGACACAGGAGACTGAGTGCAAAAGGTAAGTGTTTTTTATTTACAAAGTGAATCTTGAAGTGGTTCCAGGGCTGAAAAGGAAGGAGATGAGGTGAGTATTTGTTGGAGGGGTAATGTTGATTGTAAATAGAGTTTATGTAGAGATTTCTTACAGGAGAGGGAGGTGACAGCGACTCAGAGGAGGAGGTTGTAATCCAAGGAGGTGAGGTGAAGGATTTCCAGGTGGAGAAGCAGACAGGAGGACTGAGACAGATTTGTTTCAACACAGGTTGGAGGCAAACAGGCAGGTGAGCAAGAGGCAGGTTCTTCTCAGATGGCTTGTGGTCCACAGGTGATCACTAAACATGGAAAAACACAGGTAAGTAACCCAGGGTATTTAACAATAATGAATAGCCAGGACAAATACCATAGGCATGTGTTGCTCCGGCGAGGACCAGATCTTCAGTGCCGTCTGATAAAGCCTAGGAGCTCATCAAGGAAACCTGCTGCAGGTGATCTCCATCAGCTGGTGGCCAATTAGGAAGGTGCAAGTGACAAGCACCAATTGCCACAGTACCCTCCTCTCAATCATCACCTCCAGGCRATCGAGGACACTTCTCAGGATGGTCTGCGTAGAAAGCAGTGATGAGTGCAGGGTCAAGAATGAATGACCTCGGGATCCATGTCCTCTCCTCAGGGCCATAACCCTCCCAATCCACAAGGAACTGGAAACCTCTTCCTCGGCGTCGCACATCCAGAATGCGGCGAACAGTGTAGGCAGTGTGGTCGTCAATCATCCGGGCGGGAGGATGGCGGCTCGCAGGGGGGCAGAGGGGACTCTTGATGACAGGTTTGATTTGTGACACATGGAATATAGGATGGATCTTGAGGGAACCAGGCAGGTGGAGTCTGATCGCAGAGGGATTGATGATTTTCTCCATAGGGTAGGGTCCAATGAAGCGGGGAGCCAGTTTCCTAGGAGTCTTTTTCAGGTTAATGTCTTTAGTAGAAAGACACACTTTTTGACCCACCTGATATTTTGGTGCAGGTAAGCRATGACGATCTGCGTATCTCTTATTTTGTTCTGCTGTTCTTTGAAGTGCTGCCTTGGTCTGACGCCAGAATCTCCGACACCTGCGAAGATGTTGTTGTATGGAGGGAACAGCAATTTCTGACTCAAAACAGGGGAACAGAGGTGGAGTGTATCCTATGGGGGCTTCAAAAGGGCTGAGGCCTGTGGCTGAAGAGGTGTGGGAGTTATGGGCATACTCAATCCAAGGCAGATATTTACACCAAGTGGAGGGGTTGTTATTGGTTACACACCTGAGTGCTGCTTCCAGTTTCTGGTTGGTTCTCTCAGATTGTCCATTAGACTGGGGATGATATCCAGAAGAGAGGCTGCAGGTGGCTGCTAGGGCTGTACAAAAAGCTTTCCAGACATGAGAAATTAATTGGGGACCATGGTCAGAGACAGAGGGAATACCATGTTGTAGGAATGAGTTACTTATGCAAATAAGCTCACCTTACATCTTCCCATAACTAAGTTATGAGAGTAAAATTTACCAAGGTTTTCCTCATTACTTTAATAGTTGTCTGTGCAAAGTGAAGTGACACAATGAGGGAACGTCAGACGATTTCAARTTGATTCATAAAAGATTATGCAATCATTTATTTACACAATTGAACAAATCATAAATTACACCTGATTGTGAGCTTCCTACTAAGAGTCTCAGTAAATGAGATAAAAACCCGCGTCCGAATTTCTTTCACATTCACTCAGATTACTTATATAGACAGTAAACGTCAGCCTGATGTTATAACTAAACAATTTACTGGCACTTCACTTAGGTTGGCAAGGATAAAGGGTAAGAAAAGGTAAGAAATTTAAGGGTTAGTGTTTCTGCTTTTATTCTGGTAAGGTGTACAACCGGATTAGCACGTCCTCTCTGCTCTCAGGCTTCAACTTGACACGTCACCCACGAACACATCAGCGATACCTGGTGATGTCCGCTCAAGAACCCCTGATATGGCTGTCTCACCAACGACCCTCTAGGATGTTTGTCCTCGCTGGTCCTTGGCGAAAAGGTGTCTTTCAGGTGACTTTTCGTCTGTTTCAGCCCAGGCTAGAAAGATTCCAGCTGAAAGTTCCGGTCGTCTTTCAAAATAAAAGTCTCCCCTCTGGAGTTGAAAACACTTTAATGAGACGTATGTCTCCAGGTGGACATGAGGCGGCTGGCCTCTGTCCCAGCCGTCAGATTTCCCCGATTTGGCTGGATGGGTGAAACCTGAGGCCCCGGCTGTTCTCCCGAGAGAGAATCAGCCTGTCTTCCCTCTTGGCATTCAGGAAGGAACACTGCTGATGTGTCTCTAAGGCGTCCGTGTTAGTAAGCCAGAGTCGGAGCCTTAGATCCGCCCTCAGTCAGAAAGGAAAGAAGATAAGAGAGTTTGCCAGGCTGACGCCAGTGAAGGCCATTGCTCTGTAGCTGTTTTAAACAGACATTATAATAATATCTTCTCTGCTTCTTTCTGCTAGACTGTAAGGAATCACTGTGAAACATTTATGATGATTAATTAACACTTCTGTTTAAATAATCAGTCTTAACTTGTGTCCAGATAAATGTAAGATTTTCTTAAGAAAAACTCAAAATTATATTACTGACCTCGCACTGTGACTGCTGGAAATGGGCACCAGTGACCCACGCGACCCTGAAAGGAAGAAGCGTGTACAGAAAATGGATGGATGGATGGATGGATGTTTCAGTAAAATAAAACAGTGATTTATAAAACACAATGAAAACATGGTGATGATTTTCTGTGATTTTACACTATTCATTAATCTATTTTAGGCACGATAAAAGAATAGAAGTGATTCTTTCTTTCTTTGTGACATGTCATTATTGTGATTAACAGATGCATAAACATTCTTAGTTAAACAACCAATGAATCACGAACAGAACAGATTGTTTCTGTTTAATATCTGATTAGAGAACTGAAGTCCTCCTGTAGGTTGAAATGACCCATCATGGACTAAAATAGAGTTCAGTGTTCCTGCCTTCTTTCAGGCCTGTGCGAGACCTGCTTTGAGGCAGTAACTCCTGTTTCTTCACTCGGGGTGACCCCTACAATGTAAATGAAAAATGTGAGTGACCATAATTTGGGCAGTTTCAAAAGCAGATGGGAGCTTGGGTAAAGGGATGAAATGTGCTGCTTTAGAAAAGTGGTCCACAACTGTGAGAATGACAGTGTTACCTTCAGATGTTGGTAAACCGGTGATGAAGTCCAGGGCGATGTGCGACCATGGTCGACCTGGAGTGGGTAACGGTTGAAGAAGACCTGCAGGTGGTTGGTTTCTGGACTTGCTGCGTGCACAGGTAGGACATGCTGAGACATACTCTTTTACATCTGCATTGAGGTTTGGCCACCAAAAGTATTTCTTCATTTCCTTCCTAGGTATGTTACCTCTGTGACCCGATATTTGATTAAAAAATGATAGATGGATGGATGGATGTATGGATGGATGGATGGATGTTCATTTCCTTCCTAGGTATGTTACCTCTGTGACCCGATATTTGATTAAAAAATGATAGATGGATGGATGGGTGGATGGAAGGATGGATGAATGGATGGATTAAATACATTTAATGGTTGAAAAACTTACACAAGATGTTTTTCTACTAATTTTCTGTAAGAAAAAAAACACATGTATATCTGCCTGAAATTAATTTTACTCTTTCAGAACTGTACAAAAGCAACAAAAAAGGTTTCATCTGTGATCACCCATGTTTGTCCTTGTCAATATTCACATTTTGAATTTACTTTGCAACTTTTCAACTGAATGCTAAGTTTCTTTATTAGCTGTTGATTAAAAACTTCTTCAAAACCAATGTTTTTTTTTCCTCACATTTTACATTCCACTTTTTGAAAACTAATGCCGTGAACTATCTCCATGGAAACAAATTCATACCTTTCCACCTCTGGCTTCTTTGATGGGTGTTGAAAAGCACCACTCCTGGAACTTCAGTGTGGTAATGTCAAACTATGGAGAACATGTAAAAATAAATTCTGCCACTGCTCATGCTGCTGATAGGACCTCTCAGCAGTATGTGAACTCCTTTGACAAGGGATGACATTTGCTGCAAAAGATGTTCATTTATATGCAACCGTTCTGCCACTGGCTTAAATACCTGTATCTGAAGCTCCTTTGCCATTTCATTCCTTCCCCTTCTGACAGCTTCGGCAGAGTATATCCTCTTTGTTGAAACTAAATAATGACATTTTTGACATGCAAGCTACAGTGATATACACTGTGTGCTCATAAGGGATATTTCTATGAACTTGTGGTATTTGAAAATTGATTTGTTCTGGTTGGATCACATTACTGTCCAAGTTCTTATAAGAAATCCAATAAAATCCCCCATTATACTTGTTAACAACCTACAGAAGAAGGCTGGTGTAGTTATAGCAAGTCCAAGCGACTGTAACATCAGAAAAAATGAGCAAGAGAAGTTTGAGAAACACCAAGGGCTGAAAGAGGAATAAAGAAGAGTCAAGGTGCAGTAGTCCGAGTGGTCAATGGAGCACTTAGTGCTGTGACCCCCAAACCAGAAGAATGACTCTGATAGGTCCCAAGAACTACCTCTGAGATCTCTGTCCAGAAAGGTTCAGCCCAATGAATAAGATACTGTGAACCACCAAGGTCCCAAGCCTCTGGTGGAAGATGTGAATTGGAAGTGAAATTTGAAATGAAGTGAAACCACCTAAATGGGAAAATCTGAAGAGTTGTGCATTTCATTTATTTGTAAAATCACAGGACACCTTTTGAGTCAAAGGACACAGGCCTTTTATTTCACAAAGAAAGGGGGAAATGATATATTCTAATACCCCAGCAAGTAATGGGTGAGAAGATTTTAGACCATGTCCACAACATGGCCACTATCTCAAAAGCTACCATATTAGATCAAAATAAGGAGAGAGTTTGAACAACAGAAGCTATCATGGACAGATGGACAGACAAACCTCTACATGGTGTTTACCAATGGCAGCTTGGGGATGTGGCTGATATCAACAAATCCTACCAGTGACTGGAGAGGGCTGGACTGAAGGACAGCACAGAGGCAATAATTGTGAAAGCACAAGAACAGGCTCTCAGTACAAGAGCAATAGAGGCTGGGGTCTACCATACAAGAAAAGACCCAATATGCAGGCTGTGCAAAGTTGACCCTGAGAAAGTCCAACACATGAAAGCAGGGTGTAAGATCCAGGTAGGCAAAGCATACATGGAGTGCCATAACCAAGTGGCTGGGACAGTGTACAGGAACATCTGTGCCAAGAACAAAATGGAGGTCCCAGAGTCAAAGTGGGAGACACCAACAAAGGTGGTAGAGAATGGAGACCTGAGATTCTGAGGGACTTCCAGATTCAGACCAACAAGCAGCTGTGTCAGAGTGGTTAGGGGAGTCGTCCTGGAACCAGAAGGTCACCGGTTCGATCCCCCGTTCCAGCTGTCTCAGTTGTTGTGTCCCGGGGCAAGACAGTTCATCCCTAATGCCTCTGATGTGTGTCCCATCAGTGTATGAATGTGATTGGCACTGATTGGTCTCCATAGTTGATTGTACATGTTAGCTTTGTAGGAAATCTAGTAGAGTGCTGTGTGAATGGGTAAATGAGGTTCACAGATTGTAGTGTGAAGCGCTTTGAGTATCCTGGTTGGGTAGAAAGGCGCTGTACAAGTACAGTCCATTTACCATTTACCATAGATAACCAACCGGACAATGTGGTAATCAGCACGCAAGAGAAAAAGGCAGTGTTGATACACGTAGAAGTCCCAAGTGACTGAAAAATTAGAAATACAAAAATCTCAAGAAATACCAAGGGCTGAAACAGGAAGTATACTGTAGAAGTTGTAGACAGTAGTCCTAGTGGTCACTGAAGCACTTGGTGCTGCGACTCCCAAACTGAAGAGGGGCTTCAACAGAGCCCAGGAACAACCTCAGAGATCTCTGTCCAGAAGGTCGCAAATCCTAGAAACAGCTGCGCAGAACCCCCAAACTTCCAGTTCTCCCTTAGAAGAAATGAGATTGAAATGAAGTGGAACCACCCAAGTGGAAGAGTAGGGCAAGCTACAAGTTTATATATATTTGTGTGTGTGTGTGTGTGTGTGTGTGTGTGTGTGTG